CGATCTGTTTCATATCTGATCCGTGGTCCATCGAGACCCAAAAAGAAAAAAAAAACGCATGCGCACGTGCACAAAGTGAGCGAGCGAGAGAGAGAGAGAGAGAGAGAGAGAGAGAGAGAGAGAGAGAGAGAGTAGCTAACTATGCGCCACGCGCCCGCCCCCACACACGATGAAGTGTGGTATCTGCCCCGATCAGTTTGAAATCCGATGAAGTATGGTGTGTGCTCCGATCAGTTTCAAATCCGATCCGTGGTCCATCGAGACCCTTATATGATTTTTTTTTTAAATGCACGCTGCGAACGCGCACGCACGAGAGAGATACACCCCAATCTAACTAACTACGCCTCAACTCTCACCCCCCACACGATAGAGATACACCCCAATCTAACTAACTACGCCTCAACTCTCCCCCCCCACACGATCAAGTGTAGTATCTTCTCCGATTAATTTCAAATTTGATCCATGGTCCATGGAGACCCTTTAAAAAAAAAAAAAGACGCGTGAGAGAGAGAGAGAGAGAGAGAGAGAGAGAGTAAACGAAACAGAATGGTAATTACAAACTTAGTGTTTGCAAGCACGGTTTCAACAGCCGCGCGCACGCAGCATAAGCACGCATGCGCAGTTTCAACAGACGTGCCCCGTCCGCCGGCGCAACCCCCCGCCAGCGCAATGCTGTACGCAGGATTGTGTATCTCCTCACATCTGAGAAAGAATACTTCTTGCGAACTAAGGGGAAATTGTGGTAAGCTGGAGACAGGTATGGGAAGTGAAACACACAACAGGTTAGTTCAAATCCGACCACCACCAAACCCTCCAACTCCTTGATTATGGCGGGCGAAGCCGCAACAGTTCCCCTAGTTTCGCTTGGATTACTGCTTTCGGTTTGGCTCAATTATGTCGGGTCTTCTGTGAGATGCTGCAATCTGGTTTATCGTTGTTCTCATTTGCTTATTTCTTTGCGTAAGAACCAAACATTGACAAAAAAAAAAAAAGCTTCACAAAACAAACAAATAAAAAAGGTGTTTTGAACTTTTGGTAGGTATCTTAATCGTTTTGCTGAATTTCCTGAATTCGAAGAAATTGGAAAACTTCGATACTCTTATTTTGACAGCTCCGAAAACATTCAACTACATGGCATGATTTCAATCTTCTTTTGGATGCCAATAGAAGCATCCCCCCCCCCCCAAAAAAAAAAAAAACAGAACAAAGCACCGACCAAAGAACCAAAACAGATGTTGAAATAAAACAGGATCTCCTCCTCCTGCAGGATCAAAAAAAGTGGTATTAAAATTTCTATCAGTTAGTAGCATAGTAATAGCACCTGCTAATACTGGAAGTGACAATAAAAGCAGAAAAGCTGTAATTAGCACAGAGTCACAGACCGAAAAAGAGAACTGATAAGATCAGCGAGTTTCAAAATTTTGGCAGCGAAAATTGCAAATTCTGTTGACTGTATGTTTGAGGCACTCCTCCTTTGTGAAGGTGTGGCATCATACTGAATGAGAAAAATTGAATGGTAATGGGTACTAATGGCAGATGAGTGAAATCAAGTGTTAGCCCAGCCCCAGACTGTATGCAGCCTGCACCATGCTCTTTTGGCAGTACTTCTGCATGACAACCTGACTTTGAAATATAGTTGTGGTTGTAGTGGCTTGTGATTCTTATCTGTATCCTAACAGTAGTTGGCGTGATTCGAATATAACTTCTGTGATAGACAATAGCTCGCTGACTTATGTAGAATAGGCAACGTAAAGCTACCACTGGTAGCTGTTGTTATTGGATTTCTTCTATCCTCCTTGGCAATCACACATTAAAAGAGTGCACTATTTTATGTAGAATAGACAACATAAAGAAGCTACTGTTAGTCGGCGTGACTGAATAACTTATACATTAGGCAACGACACACTAAGTTTTGTAGAAGGTAAAATACTAAAACGTGAATCAGCTACAACGGTTATAATAGCACACTACAGTGCATACATATATAGGATCAAAAATTCAAAATTCAAGTTGAGAATCCGCAAGGCATATTTGGATAGTAATTTACTAATTTGACTTCTTGCATGTCGGTCCATGTAATTGCTGTTGCTGGATTGTGTAGCAAGGAGAAGATGGCAGGTGCAGTTGATGGAGAAACACCAAAGGTACGTTCTGCGATCCATTCATGTGCTTTCGTATAGTCTCCACCATCTTTATGCTATTTAAATTTCTAGGCTACCAGCCGGGCCGCCCGGGTCCCGGGTGGCCAGCCCGTGCAAGGACCAGGGAAGGTCCCAGCGAAAAAAAACAAAAATCCAAAAAATCGGAGAAAAAAACTATGTTATGCAGAAAAATAAACTAAACAACTTTTGCCTCAGGGTCACATCGAAATTCTTCACCAAATTTGGAAAACAAAATACAATTTTTATTTTTTATTTTTATTTTTATTTTTATTATTTTTTTGGCCCGGCCGGGCAAGTGACCCCGGGCCACTCTGGTAGCCTAGTATTTCATATAAAAAAAAGACTGGCTTTGTCAACAAAGGTTTGTAGTTGCAAATTTTGAAAACTTCGCTGTTTCTGGAACTTTTTGCATTTCGAGCAATTTGCACACTTTCTAGAAATGACCGAGGGTAGATGTGTTATTCCCTGTTTTTAAAATGGGATAATTGGTAGATACTGCCCACACGAAAACCTTTTTGGTTTTTCGCCCCCAAACTTTTCCTAGTTGGCAAGAAGGGCCTACCGAAAAATGAATCAAGTACAGCACCAGGTTCAAAACCGGTAGGAAGAGGCCGATTGGGGGGGACTCAATCTCAGCCGCAAGATTTTCAAGTCCAATGGCCAGCAATGCTTGTGGGCCCTTCTTGCCAAACAGGAAAAGTTTGGGCGTGACAAACCAATTTTTTTTTTGGCTTGGGCCGCATCTACCGATTTTCACAACAGCAAATGCCAACGGCATTGGTAACTATGAAGGATGAATGAGCAAACTTTTACGATGCGTTGCATCACACGTGGTTAATGGAGGGCCGAAAATTTGCCTTTTTCATCGACAGTTTCGGTGCAAAATTCAACGAAAAGTTCGTCGAAAACTTCAAAAGCAAACTACATGGGCCCATAGTGGAAACATCAGAAAACAAACAGGCCAAAGAAAACCATGGTTACCAACCGGACGTCCGGATCCCGATCCAGACAGTCCGGTGTCCGGTTCGGAGGGTCTGGTTGGACCCCGATTTTGAAAATTTCGAATTTTCTTTTGGGGATTCCCAGGCCGTTTACCTGGGCCTGGGGTACCCCAGAAAATGAATGCTTGTGTTTTTTGAGAACCGGTACCCCAACCGGACAGGCCCTAAAAAGGCCCTCTGTGTGATAACATTGGCACACAAGTTCGTTGTATCGCTCTTATTTGGATGGAATCTTTGTGCATTTGAGCTCTCTGCTTGGTACATGACTATCTGCAACTTGATTTTCTGTCTATTGCTCTCGCTCATTTCCTTGCATTTTTGTGACGTGGGAGGAGGGTCTGGCCGATGGGAGGGGCGAGCAGGGATGGGAGGGCGATGAAGGATGGGAGGGCGATGATGGATGGGAGGGGCGAGCAGGTATGCCAGACAGACATGAGCGACATTGGATACTGTGTTGGTGGGGCCTGAGGGCGATGAGGGTGTCCCCTTGGTTATGGTCCACAGTCATGGCTGTGAACCCTCGAAGACGCGTTTGTACTTCACGAACCTCCTTGAGTGTGGTGCCTGTCGCCTGGCCGCTTGCTCCGAAACATGTAGTCAGTTTCTGGTCATCGAAGCAGTCTGTCATTCTCCCAAAGAAACCTTCGAAGGCATGGCTGTGCGCTGAGCCTCCGTCCCTTTCTGCGTCCCTGGGCGGGTTTGTTTTTCAAATTCTTCGTTGATTCTGGCACGATCAGTGATTCAGAAAATCGAAAGAATACATGTCCAGCTTCGTTCTTACTGAGCTCCGACCTTGCGCACATACATCTCACCGCCTCCGTTTTTAATCTGGCCATGGATCGGTGATTGTGTATAAGCTTCCCTACCGACTTTTCACTCGTCCATACTACCCTCACTCTGCGACACACGAATTCAGCTATTGCTGTACTCTTGCACGTCCGTCTCACTTTCCCTTGCAACATTCACTAATCTCGTACATGCTCAAACCCTCCTCGAATCTGATCTTCACTATCAGTCTCTTTCTTACGTTGGTCTTGAACTTTGCTTTTATTGTGCGTGTGATTGTCCCTCTTAGGATTGCTCAGTCTCTTTTTCTCCCAGAAAGTCGTACTCCATAGTATAGTCGGACCAGCTTCTCTATCGTATAACTCTTGTCATACAGCCTTCTCCGTAAAGCAGTCAAAAGGTCAAATCCCCCTCGGCACTGACGAAAAACTACACGCAGTATCTCACATCCCATCCCCTGTACATCCCTGAGTTTCACGTCTTGTAACAATCTCTTCTTATTGCTATACTTAATCTCCGTAAAACCATAGCATTGTTTAATTACTGACCGTTTTTCACACCAACTCGTACCTTGTCCGATCCTTATGTGTCCCTTTCCTTCCTTATCTTTGTGATCTCTTGTAGAACACCGATGACCGGGAACGGTGTGCTGTCTTCAAAGTGTATGCACACTGATGCGGGGACTTCTCCCGTGCTAGGTGGTTGTCTTCGCACCTTCCTTTCTCTCTTCCGTGTCTGTTTCTTTGTTTGACTCTCCATTTGTTTCCTCGTCCGTTGAGTGCCGGGCAGAAGGCCCGAATGTAAAATCTCTCCACTTGTTCCAAGTCCGCTTTCTCACATACCGTGATTGGCATGGCCACATAGTCTTTCCAACTCGTCTTTCTCATCCATCCGTAGACCTTGTTGTCCTTCTTGTTCTTGCTAGTCTCTGTTGCTCGGCTGTGCTCGTCCCATCGCTCAATTAACGTCCGGCTCGCCTGCCCGATGTTCGTTGCCCTGTAGTAGGGCGATACAAGTGCATATACACGATTCTGGGTTTCGGAACCAGTCGCGCTCTCGAGAATTCCACCCGGATGTTCCTTCGAGAAACTTCTGAAGTCAATGAATATTTCCGTGTAGTGCCGGGGTCTTGATCGTTGTCCTCAGCTTGGACTCGATCTCGTCTCTTTCCGTTTTGCTTCCGTTTCTTCTCTTCGGGTTCTGGCTTTCCTCTTCGAAATATCTCCAGGTGTGCGAAACGTCCCGTCCCTGGTCATTGGTCATGCATGTCGTTTCCGTTAGCCTCCGGTTCAGCAGGTTCGGCAATCCTGACAGGATCTGCGGTGGCGTGCTTTCCATACTCGTTGATTGCTCGCTGTTCAGCCAGGACATCGATCATGTCCTCCTTTGGCCAGCTTGTTGCTTTTAGTTTTTCGTCCTTCCACATCTTCTCCAGCTGTTTGACATTCTTGTTCCTCAGATGTCGTTTAGTGTCGTTGATGAATCTCAGTCTTCCTTCTATTCCTGGTCCTGCCACGGCTTCTTTTCTTCCTCGTAGGATATGGTCGAACCCCAGGGGTTCTTCCGTGTCTTGTTCTTCATTCACAGTCCTTGCGCGCGTTGCCTCTCTACAGACTGGTTCTGTTTGTGTGAATAGCCGTTCCAGACCTCTTGCTCCAGTCAGCGGCGTACTCAGCATCTTCCTCGAGGACGAGGGAGTGTTAGTCGCCGCATTTCACCGCTGAACTCTCCATGCTCTGTATAATCCAGGTCTGAAGAAACATCGACCTCCTCCTGATTGCTATCACTATTGATGCACAGGAGATTACTTTTCTTCCTCCAGTCCTAGGGCAGATTCTTCCCGCTCGGTCTACTTGTGGTCCCTATGGACACACTGACATTCCTTAGCTTGGCCTAGAAGTTGAGGACCTTAGAGCTCAGGGATGCGAAGTCATGGTGAGTTGTACTGCCCTCATTAGCTACCACATTCTTAATGTTCTCTACAGTGAATGCAGAGAACTGGTCAAGAGTGAGTATTTCAAGATCTTATCTGACCCCAAGTACCTCGATGAGGCATTCAACTTCTTCTGTAACAGACTGGACATACTTGTACTCGTGAGTCTCCAGCATACGGAGCTCATCTGTGGCCTCCTCAGCCGCTTTCCCGTCATAGAAATGTTCGAGTCTTGGTCCTAGCCCGAACCTCAAAATCCCTCCCAAAGCCTTTTGTTGCTACAACTCTGTTCAGCCAAGTTGATGTGGAGCCTTTCAGGAATGTGGGTACTACTATGACATCCCTATTGGACCTACACTGTGTCTTTCATCCTGACATACGACGAGTGGGAGGCAGAGGAGATTTGGGGTGCTCCGGAGGAAAAGGAACGGGAGGACAACAAGGAGGAGGAGCGGGTGGAGGACAGGATGACAAAATGCAGCAGGAGGAGAAGTGGGAGGAGAAGGGGGAAGGCAACGAGAGGGAGGACAGTAAACGGGAGCAGGAGCACCAGGAGGAGGAGGAGGAGACATGGTGATGCTCCCAAAGCCTCCCCTGGCCTAACTGGGACCTGAACACCTCTCTCTCAGGAATTTCATGCTCTTATCACCTGGGCCTTTCCTTGGCCTTGAACAGATCAGCAATAAGGACAACTGCAGGATTACTCACAAACAGCAGTCAATCAGCCACACTCCTCCTGACGCTTTGCTTGGCCTTGGCCTATCCTGGCTGGTAGCCTAGTCTGTGAGTGAATGCAAGCCTTAAAAACCTTTTTTTTTGGACCCTTTCTCGATTTATGCGTGCCATCCTTGCGCAGGGGCCATGCTAATCTTCTTCTCTGTATCGTTCCAATTTTAACGGATGTCCCGAAGGACTCAAGCCTTAAAAGTTAAAACCTGTTTGGATGGCAAACGAATATGCCGTGCAATGTCAGAAAAATGCATTCACCTTTCCTGAGGCAGCAGCATTTGATCCCTGGTCCCCCCCTGATGAGAAGAAGTGGTTGATTACTAACGTTCTGCGTACTAATCGCTGCATTTCTTTGCAAATGGAAACAAATTTCTGGCTCTTGAGCCTCGAGGAAAAGAGTACTTGGCGGTTTTTTTAGCAAATAAAAACAGCGAATAGTGAATGTCTTAGCAAACGGAAAAATTGGTTACCTCAGGCCATTTTGACTTGCTGAGTCGTCTGCGCAAATGGAAGCAATTTTGTCTCCTCAACGGCCCTCCACTTGCTGATTTTTCTGCAACCTGACTGTGCTGGTGGTGTTTTAAATTTTAATTGCTGACCAAATGGTTCAGAGGGGGCGAGGCCGGCCACGCAAACGGCCTTAAAAGTGTAGCACCATAGCGCACACAGCAAGGTGGGCATGGGACGCTGTGCTACTGCAACGTTCTTGAGGGTTTTCCGCACGCTGAATGCTTCTCCAATGGGAAATAACTATGGTGGAAAGAGTACCTGGTGGGCGCTGGGTTATTCCGGCTACGTCTCAGAAAAATGGAAAGGGTGGTGATGAAGATGATGATGAGCAGCGAATCACCAATTCGCTGATGGGATTTCAGAGCTGAAGTGGAAGACAGGAATACGTTGAGAATGACAGTGAGTGGACAATAGGCACTGGGCTTCGTCATTCACAAGCTAGCAAGCAAGCAGATTTGCAAAAGGAGGAAGGGCAGGAGCTTCCCACAGGCTTGAAACATTGGCTGCTGGTGACAAGTAGCCACAGAGGGGCATGGCAGAGACGAGACATGGCATCGAGGTCTGAATGGAAAGTAGGACCAGCAAGTTATTCGAATACGAAAGAGCAGCAAGGAAGGAGTCTGAGGACATCGTCGCGGCATATCATGGTCAGTGTAGTTTGGGCTTAAAATCACCGACTTGGTGATCGATTCTGTAGTGGTAGTCGCTGTTTCACAGCTACCCATCCTCTCCTGGACAGGAGTTGCGAACGCTGATGTGCTATGGCAACATCATCTATCTATAGATCGAAATACCATCTTTCCAAGGCAACTGAAAGATGGAAAACTGATTTTCGTTGAAAAAGCTCAGACCAAATCTAATTGGTCGATCTGTAGTTTTGCGAAAAAGTTCTCTGAATCTGTAGGTTTTGCTTCTCTTGAAACTGATTGGTTGTGAAAACTTGGACCAAATCCATTTGGTCAAAATCGGTAGTTTTCTGAATCTGTAGTTTTTTCCCTCCCTCTCTAGACTTGCCTACATTGGCCATCGATCATCAGCGTATGTATGTATGGTTCCCACCTCTCGTCCTTTGATTTGTACATGTCTTTCTTTTCCTTGGTAGAGAGAGAGAGAGGGAGAGGGAGAGAGAGAGAGAGAGAGAGAGAGAGAGAGAGAGAGAGAGAGAGAGAGAGAGAGAGAGAGTAGGTTGTTCCGGAACTGGTCAGATCTCCCTTCTGTGCATCGGGGAGTCTGAGGGTGCACCCTGTGGACCCTCCATCTCTAACATCTCTTCCCTGCCACTTCTCACTATCTGAGCGTGAGATGGAGATCAGTGCTTCTGAACAGCGAATGGTGGTCCTTGCAGTGTGCGCAGACTTTCGTTTTCATTGTAGTGAAGTGCTATAGCCTGGATAGAGATGACTTCCCTTTGCGCTGATCCAACGCAGCATATCTCCTGTGTGGGCTGCCTTGTGTGTGTGCTGATTGGCATGTATGCTAGTCAGTTTTCAGCAGCACCATAAGCAGCAGCATAACAGTTATAGAGACAGCATGCGGGCAACTGCACTGGGCAGGGATTGACACACACACGTACTGGATTTCTGGAAGTGCTGGCAGAAGCTTGAAGCTGTGCAGAGCGGATTGTAATGTCCATCGTGAATATCACGCAACCTTATCAGACACGTCCTTCCTAGGGGTACTACTATGAACTCGTCCGCCACGAGCAGGAATAGTCCTATGAACGCATCTCAGATTAGGCAAAATACATCACTCCCACGCTTAGACAGAGCGACACTGAATGGGCGTACCATTGCCGCACTATGCAGCGCACATCGACCTCCTTCCTCTTCTAGAATAGACCAGGATGACAGCACCAGATTAGGAATGCAAGCAGGCCAGCAACTAAATGTTAGGTTCTTGTCAATATCAGAAGGGAGAACAGATTCATCGTCAGACTTCTGCTGTAAGCGAGACTGACCTCCTTCCTCTTCCAGAATAGACCAGGATGAGAAGGACGCGATTAGGAATGCAAGCAGCCTTACATATGGTTCCAATCTCTGGAGCTATGCGGATCGGACTCGCACTTTATGCTCTGCCTCTGCTTGCATTGGCAGGGAGTGACAGCAGTGCGTGGGATTAGGAATGACCGACAGCAGCCCATGGGACAACGGGACCAGAATGCGCTTTGCGATTTGGGGGCACCATGATCTCACAATGCCGCCGCTGGCTCAGTGGGCTCTTGACGTACTCGTTCACATATATATATACGATATATATGTATATATATATATATATATCCCTCTCTGCTTACAGTTTACCGGGCAGCTCTGTTTGACAATATATATATATATATATATATATATATATATATATGTGTGTGTGTGTGTGCATATATGTGGTAGGGAGAACGCATGTGATGCCCATGAGGCAACCCCCTGCTCCTCTCATCCCCCTCCTCGACACGCATGCATAGTGTGCACCTTCCTCACCCACCCTATAACGAGGACAAAGGGTCTTTAGTTGGCCAGGAGCTGCAGCGCTGTGCTCAAGTCTCCAGGAAGAGCAAGCTGGCTGGGCTGCACGCCTTCTTTGCTGCATCTCCATAACCCCTTGATCGACATCCGTACCACCTTCACTCATCTTCCCTGTCCCTTGCCGATACCCCTGTCTCTCTGAATGCAGTCATTTCCATACTGCAAGTCAGTCAGCCACAATTTTCGTGCCTCCAAGTCAGCAAGTTCAGCGCACAGTGCCGCAGTCCAAAAATGTTACGCCGGTCACTTTTCCTCACCACATCTGTTTACTGCTGTGCAGCTTTTCAGTTTTATCATCAACGAACAAGTTCTTCTCAAGTTTTATGCTGATTCCTTCCCAGGACCTGCTGCAGGTAGGTGAGAGACATGCCCAGAACTTCCTGCCTCTTTTGGATGCAGGAATGATGGAGGTGGCCAATGATTGTGATGAGGATCATGATATGTGGTGGTGCTGGTAGCGGGGGTGGATGACGACTGATGGGGATCGTGATGGTGAGCATGATTGCGGTCATGACGGTGACCACGATGACGATCATTTAGGCAACTGTTCATGCAACCCAATTGTGATGATGACCATGATGCTGGTGTGACAGACTGACTGTGAAGAGTATTTATGATGTGAATCATAGGATTGGGTTGGTGGGGACACCTTTCATGATCACAAAGGTGGATGGAGAAAAAGGATCGTATGGTGGCCCAGAGTTTGGCAGAATAGATCAGACAGAGAGAGAGAGAGAGAGAGAGAGAGAGAGAGATTGCAGCCATATATTCGAATTGCTTTTGCCTGTTTAATGCCTCAGTGGGAGCTAGATTGTGTATGCAGAAGCTCTCCCAGTGCGAAGTGTGCACGATAGCGTCCCATCGTTAGGTCCTACTAGTTTTCTTCTAGAAGAAGAGCTGTCTGTGTTCGATTTGATATACTGGATGCTCACCGCGCAAACTCCATCCACATATCAAACCTGAGTGCACAATCTGTGCCCTTCCTCTGTTTTGATTTTCGAAGAGTCTGCCTCATTGCTTCTTGGCATGGTGTGCGTCGTTTCATGGGGGATTATGACACGCTCATCTCCCTCCGTTGAGGTTTGCATCGGTGGTTACACTGTCTGAGAACATCTGCACATGTGCATTCACGTGTGTGTGTGTGTGTGTGTGTGTGTGTGTGTGTGTGTGTGTGTGTGTGTG